CAATTATTTGGAAATCTTTCCATTGCCACAGTGTTGCCAATAATGATACTGCCTATTAAAACAATATTATCTGCTCACCTTTAAAACCTGGAAACAAATTTTCTGTGTTAAAGCATCCAAATTAAGAGTGATAGTGTATTTTAAACCCATTTATTAAAAATATTAAAGAGCAACATATCCTGATCAATTTGCTTATGTGAATGATTGACATCAGCAAAGATGGAAATTAGCAGCCTTGTTTCAACAAAAACCTTCACAAACAGGTAGACGTCATTAAAATATGAATAGTGTGATTTAGTAAACACGGCCAACAGTGTGCTTCCTCCACTGGGGTTTGTATAACTGAGCAATAACCTCCTTGAAACAAACCAAACTTTTCATATATATTGATTTTTAATTTAGGTTTATATAAGTTTTGTAATGTATATATTGTAATATATTACAAATAAATAATTGTAAATATGTTAGGGAGTAGGTACTCAAAATATTTTAAGGATTGGGTGTGCCACATTTTAGTTTGGAGATCACTGGTCTGGAGTTGTGTTTCTCAAACAAGGGAAGCATGTTAGGAAAGGTTACTTAAAATGAAGATGCTTGGGCCCTAACCTGGACCTGCTGAATAGGAAGGATTCTCTGGGACTGGGCCCAGGCTTGTATATCTTCAACAAGTTCCCTTCCAATTCTGATGAACACCAGAATTTGAGAACCATTTTTCTAGAAAATAAAGCCCAGCTTCTTAGGTGGACATTCAGAGTCCCACCATGGCCCTTGTCTGCTTGCTGCTCTGGTCCCCATCAACCCCACACATGGAAATGCTGTAGCCTCAGAAACTGCCTCTTTGCCCATTTCCATGGCTCAGCCCAGCACCCAGCATGAGGCAGATGTCCAAGAAGTGTTGACCCAACTCCTACCAGCAAGGTGCCAAGCTCTGACTCATCTCTGCATTTCGCACATGCAGTTGCCTGAACTCTTTTTTTTTTTTTTTAATTTTATTTATTTTTGGCAGTGTTGGGTTTTTGTTGCTGCATGTGAGCTTCCTCTAGTTGTGGTGAGTGAGGGCTACGCTTTGTTGCAGTGTGCAGGCTTCTCATTGCAGTGGCTTCTCTTGTTGCGGAACACGGGATCTAGGCACACGGGCTTCAGTAGTTGCAGCACACAGGCTCAGTAGTTGTGGCACACGAGCTTAGTTGCTCCATGACATGTGGGATCTTCCCAGACCAGGGATCGAACCCATGTCCCCTGCATTGCCAGGTGGATTCTTAACCACTGCGCCACCAGGGAAGTCCCTGAACTTTTCTTTTTGAAATTTCTTTTCCCTGTTCCTCCCATCAAATTCTTATTGATCCTTCATTCTATGTTTAAATGTTGTGTGCTCTGTTACTCACCACTCCTATGTCCTTGTGGTATGACTTACCACATTTTATTATATTTATTTACTTATACATTTCCCTCTTTTAATTACAAGCTCTGTGAGTATTTGACACTGTCTCTTTTCTTTTTTTTTTTTGTCGTCATACTTCAGGTAACATTTATTGATTGCTTGTTTTGTTTTTTGGTTTTCTTAAATTTATTGAGATAACATTAACTTATAACATTATATGTTTCATATGTACAACATTATATTTCTACTCCTGTATACCCTACAGTGTGCTCACCACCAAAAATTTAGTTTCTATCCATCACCATACAGTTGATCCCCTTCACCCATTTTGCCATCCCTGCCCCACCCCTACCCCTCTAGTAACTACTACTCTGATCTCTGTTATCTAGGTGTTTGTTTTGGTTTGTTTTGTTTTGTTCATTTATTTTATCTTTTGTTTTTTTATTAGTTCTTTGTATTCCACACATGAGTGAAATCATATGGTATTTGTCTTTCTCTGTCTGACTTATTTCACTTAACATAATACCCTCAAAGTCCATCCATGTGGCCACAAATGGCAAGATTTCATTCTATTTTGTGGCTATATTCCATTGTGAATATATATGTATATATTTATATACATATACATACCACATCTTCTTCATTCATTTATTGATGGACACTTTGGTTGTTTCCATATCTTGGCAATAAATAATGCCACAGTGAACATAAAGGCATATATATCTTTTCAAATTAGTGTTCTCATATTCTATGGATAAATACCCAGAAATGAAATTGCTGGGTTATATGGTAGTTCTATTCTTAATTTTTTGAGGAATCTCCATATTTTTTTCCATGGTGGCTACACTGGTTTGCATTCATACCAACAGCATATGAGGGTTCCCTTTTCTCCACAACCTCACCAATACTAGTTATTTCTTGTATTTTTTATAATAGCCAATCTAACAGGCATGAGATGATTTTAACCTTGTAGTTTTGATTTGCATTTCCCTAATAATTAGTGATGTTGAACATCTTTTCATGTACCTGTTGGCCACCTGTATGTCTTTGGGAAAATGTCTATTCAGCTCCTCTGCCCGGTTTTTAATCGGGTTGTTTGTTTTTTGTTGTTGTTTAGTTGTATGAGCTCTTTATATATTTTGGATATTAATGCCTTAATTGAATATACCGTTTGCAAACATCTTCTCCCATTCAGTAGGTTGTCTGTTCATTTTGTTGATGGTTTCCTTTGCTGTGCAGAAGCTTCTCAGTTTTATGTTATCCAATTTTTAAATGTTTGCTTTTGTTTCCCTTGCCTGAGGAGATATATTTAGAAAGATATTGCTAAGACCAATGTCTTAGCAATGTTAGCAAACATAGGCATACTGCCTATGTTTTCTAGTAATTTATGGTTTTAGGTATGGTTAAGACTTACATTCAAGTCTTTAATCCATTTTGAGTTGTTTTTTGTGTATGGTGTGAGATGGTGATCTCGTTTCATTTTTTGCCTGTAGCAGTCTGGTTTTTCCAACACCATTTATTGAAGAGACTATTCTTTCTCTATTGTATGTACTTTGCACCCTTGTCATAAATTAATTGTCCATAACCGCATGGGTTTTTCTGCCAATACCATGCTGTTTTGATTACTATGGCTTTGTGATTTAGTTTAAAATCAGGGTGGGTGATACCTCCAGCTTTGTTTTTTCATTTGTTTGTTTGTTTGTTGTTTTGTTTCATTTCGTTTTGCTTTGTTTTGTTTTGTTTTCTCCCTTAGGATTGCTTTTGCTATTCAGAGTCTTTTGTGGTTTCATACAGACTTTAGAATTTTTTATTCTGTTTCTGTGAAAAATGTCTTTGGGATTGCATATAATCTGTAGATTTCTTTAAGTAAAATGGACATTTTAACAACGTTAATTCTTCCAATTCATGAGCATGGAATATCTTTCCATTTATTTGTGTCTTCTCCAATTTCTTTCAACAGTGTCATCTAGTTTTCAGTGTACAAAAAACTGTCTCATTCTTGTGTGCACCACAAGAAGGTGGCACCCAGCCACCTTCTCCACTCCTCCTTCCCTGCCCTGCCTCAGCCTCTGGAACATCATTAGTTTTGGGGATATGCAAAAGCAGCTGGAGGATGAACCAACCTGGAAGAAAATAGTAGAGGAAATTTAAGATCTTTTGATACTCTTAAAGTCCAGTTAAAATAGAGAAGCAGAGTTTCATTCTTACTTCTGAATAGAAATATTTAGATGCCTAGGACTAAACTGAGACTTCACTGTCTTTTGGTTGTGGGCTGTGTCTTTAGATTCTATTTTGAAAATATTAACTTTAGAGAATCTGATTCTTAGACAAGTAATCTTTTAAATATGTTCTTTAGAATTATACTACCTGCAACTCTCAACATGATAAATACTATTTTAATGTAGTGATTTTCTAAATCCTAGAAATATTAACTCCGTATAATGTTTTTCAATTTTATTGTGTGATTGTTATATAATAATCTCCCGTAATACATTGTTTTTTTAATGAACATCTTCTCCCTTATCCTGATGTTAAGGATAGCACATTTTTAGCTAATGAAAGACTAGTACTGACATGTTAAAAGACTTACCCCAAATTATATATGAGTGCAGTTAAGCCCAAGCTTCCTCTCTTCCTCTGTTCTTGAATGCAGAAATCTACCCCTCAGACATGAGATACCCTGATGCACCCCCAAGGCTGGGATTGCTCCATTGAACCACATACAATTCCTATTACCTTTTCTCTGTCCATCTGTATCCCCTTCCCTACTCCCCAGCTCGATCTCTTGTTTTCTATTTTGAATGACCCAGCTGAGGCCTGACATTGGCATCACCAACCTTGTCTAGCCCAGAGTACAAAGTTTTCTGGCCCCAGTGGATATCATGGCTGGAGGTCTTCCCCCAAAATATTTTTAAATTGAAGTATAGTTAATTTACAATGTTGTGCCAAAATATTTTTTAATAAGAGTGAGTCTATGTAGATTAGCTGTAGATTTTGGTGATTTCCATGGCTCACTAGGAATTTTCTCATGGTTTCTCTTAAGGGTCAAGAGGAAAGTACAGAAAAGTACTTTTATATCTGATTTTTATGTCTGATAGTCTGAAGATTGTGTTGTCCGTATAGACAGCTTTTTCAGATTCAAGAAGTAAACTGAAATTTTAGATGTCACCAGATTCATGGATGTTTCTCACATCATCATAGTAATAGTAATAATAATTTGTTGAGCACTTCAGTTTGCCGGTACCTTATAGAGATTACCTCTTTCCATCCTCACAAAAACCCTGTGAACTGGAGGCTGATACTCTCCCATCACACAGAAGCAGTACATGTGGCCCAAACAGATGAAGTGTCTTTTCCAGGGTCACACATTTATACAGTAGCAGAGCCAGAGTGCAGCCCCAGGTGGTCTAGCTCCTGAGATTTTGCGTTAACTTCTGCATCTCATATCAAAACCCCATTTTCAGTTTTTAGAAATGAGTTAGCAATTTGAAAATTATTTTTAAAAATACAGAGGATGTTGTTTCAAAGGGTCCCTAGAGCATCTTGATCCACTTGAATTTGCAATGTGTCCTACATTTCTGGATGCTTTTTCAAATGCTTACTGTACTTTAATTTGCAGGCCCAAGAAGATAATATTAAAAGCTTTCAAACAATATTGGTTCGTCTTTAAAGACACGTCTATAGCCTACTTTAAAAATAAGGAACTTGAACAAGGAGAACCAGTAGAAAAACTAAATCTTAGAGGTAAGAGGGTCCAATATCTTGGTATGGCTTGTCACGGCCCAGCAAGCAGATGAAAGCCAAGACTCCCACCAGTGAAGCAGGTTCACTCCCAGAGGAACCTCTTATGTCACGGGTTGTCAGTGACCGCCTGCCTGCAGCTCCTCCTCCCTGTGAAACATGGACCTGAAATGCAAACCAGTGAATGGTTATTTGTGTTATGCTGTCCCTTCTTTCCCAGTGTGTCCAAGTCTCTGAAATGGTGGTAATTTGTGTCGTAAACATAGTACATTAGACATTGTTGGATCCTGAAAAGTGCTCTGAATTCCAAAACAGTTATGTCTAATCCAGTATCAGTTTTGTGCCTGATTTCTGAAAGTGGCTGTGAGTGTACTGGTAACTCCATTAACTAAAAATTTAATTAACTAGTGCACTCAATTCCCTTATCATTGTGACAATCAGAGGATTCCCTCTGCTTTAATTCATTTCAAAGCTTATATTCAATAACTGATTATATGAGTTAGAATAGCCAAATCAACCTGAAGAATGAATTCAACTGATGATTATTTAAGAAATCCATAAAAGAAATATTTTTATTTATCCATGTTATGTTCATAACTTATCTAGTTATCCTTTAATTAATGTTATCAGCCTGCACCTCAGTTTTTCAGAAGAGAACCAAATCTGAGGAGCTTATGTTCAAAGTCTTTATTTTAGATGCACATCTGATATTTGTCTAAGAGATCTCTCAGAACTCAGTTCTGTCCTTGCCTTTTATCACTCAGGCTGTGAAGTTGTGCCAGATGTAAATGTAGCAGGGAGAAAATTTGGAATCAAGTTACTAATCCCGGTAGCTGATGGTATGAATGAAGTATATCTGAGATGTGACCATGTAAGTAAAACCACAAAAATGGTAAGTCACTTCACCTTTATTAAGCTTCAGGACAAACCATCTCAGGTGTTTTCTCAAATGAGAGCACTCATCAATCAGCTATTGCTTTGTAACAAACAATCACAAAAATCACAAAGACACATACCAATAAACGTTCTGCAGGTGGGCTGGGGATTGAGTGATCCAGGCTGAGGGCATCTGGGCAGATCTGCTTCAAGCCATCCACCTGGCTCGGCTGGCTCCTTATCGCAGGCTGAGCTCATGGGATTTATTGGGGGTCCCAGGCTGCCTGGGGAGAAGGCTTTTCTCATAGTGATGGCAGAAGTGCCAGAGGGGAACTGGGAACGTGTGAGACCTCCTAAATCTTAAGCTTGCAGTCAATCGGTAGGTACACTGTCATTTCCACCCATGCTCCATTGACTAAAGCACAACCATGGCCAGGCCCAAAGTCAAGATATGGGAAATTACACTCTGGCTCTGGTGGGAGGGACTGTAAAATTACATGACAAGAGGTGTGGATGCTAGGAGGGTGAAGATTGAGGCCAGTGATTCAGTGAACCACACCTACTGTTGCCCTGAAGAATTAATTCGATTCTTCACCTGCATCCCCTCGGCTTCTGGGACCACTCCCCTTTGCTCCCTGAGGTAACAAATGAGCACAGACATTAAAGAACAGTAGAAGCCACTACTAACTGGTTCAGCACCACCAATGGACATGATTCCTACTATGGGATTAGAATCTTTACTAAGGATAGGCCAGAGAAATAATATGAGAAGTCAGTTAATGATTTTTCCTCATTTTCTTCTGTCATAGAGATAAGATGTGATATGAAAATGGAAATATGTGTCAAGGAGGCTATCGGGTAGTTTGGGTTTTCACCTGTCTGTGCCCCATGGAGCTCCTTTTTGTCCTTGGTTCATCTTTTTTTTTTTTTTAATTTATTTGGTTGCATCGGGTCTTAGTTGCAGCAGGTGGGCTCCTTACCTGTGGCTCGCAGGCTCCTTAGTTGTGGCATGCAAACTCTTAGTTGCAGCATGCATGTGGGATCTAGTTCCCTGACCAGGGTTCAAACCCAGGACCCTGCATTGGGAGCATGGAGCTTTATCCACTGCACCACCAGGGAAGTCCCTCCTTGGTTTGTCTTTAAATGCAAAGTTCTCCACATGGAATTTCTTAAAGTTGACATTCGTATTCTCTAGCCCCGTGGTATCTAGAAATTCAACACAGGACTCAAAAGCTCTCATTGGACTTTAAATTACGTGGTTAACAGCCAGTCTGAATGTGTGCCACTTTGTATCTTTCCTTGCTGGGAAGGTGATGGTTTTGTATCATAGAGATGAAAGCCCAGGTCCTGCTCTGTTCCCAGCATGGCTGCTTTGCATTTGAACTTACTTCTCAGCTCTCTGGTGTTTGCTGCAGGAGAGTCAGTATGCCGAGTGGATGGCTGCCTGCATCTTGGCATCAAAGGGCAAAACCATGGCGGACAGCTCCTACCAGCCAGAGGTCCTTAACATCCTTTCATTTCTGAGGATGAAAAACCGGAACTCAGCATCTCAGGTGGCTTCCGGTCTTGAAAACATGGATATGAACCCGGAATGTTTTGTGTCACCTAGGTGTGCAAAAAAGCACAGGTCTAAACAGGTACTGCTAATCTTGTTGGGGTGATTGTCTGCAGCAAATTCTGTATTTTCTGAAATAAAATAAATAATTTAAATGACTGAGATCATCATCATGAAAAATCAGCTGATAGGGAAATTTGACTATGAACTGGGTATTAGATGATATTAAGAAATTATTGTGAATTTTGTTAGCAGTGACTATACTGCTAACTGAACATGACAATATTTTCAGAATAAACCTAATTTAAAAATAATGATTTAGTCCCCACAAATTAAAATTTTAAGTTATGCTTCCATAAGAGTGGGGTTGAAAGTTACACAGATAAACTGATTCAAGTAGAACCATTGTCCATGGAGACCACAGACCCCAGAAAGAACTCAGGACTCTTCATCTACATAAAGCTTAGATACTTATGTGTTGGTCCATCTTCCTGTTTCTCCACAGTGATTTGCATGTATTACAGAAAGAGAGAGAGAGAGTGAATGAATGAATGGGAGGAATTGTCTTTGTGGAGCTGTAGTTGGGCCTTGCATTCATTCTTCTCGTTGGGGACCCGGGGCCAACAGGATGATTGCTGTAGAGAGTCAGTGCCTGCTAAGGAGAATTTGACATCTCCCACTTCTGTTTAGCTGGCAGCCCGCATCCTGGAAGCCCATCAGAACGTGGCCCAGATGCCCCTGGTCGAAGCCAAGCTGCAGTTCATTCAGGCATGGCAGTCTCTACCTGAATTCGGCCTCACCTACTACCTTGTCAGGTGATTACAATGCTCACTTGCCTCTCTCACTTTCTGTTCAATTTTAAGTGGTTTCATGGAGCGCAGTTTATTCTCATTTGGTCTAGAATGTAGAACTCTTTCTTTTCTTTTCTTTTCTTTTAATTTTAGAATACTGTCCTTTCACAAATGGCCCAAACACTTTTGGCTGCTCATGACAATCTTCCAACCTCTGTTCACAGTGTCTACCAGATCTCTCTGCTTCTCCTGGATCCCCTAAGTTTCCAACTTAGCAGCAAGAGTGATCCTTTTAAGATCTCAGTCAAACCACGTCAGGCTCTGCTCACCACCACTGAAGGCATTGTGTCACACTCCGAGTAAGAGCCAAATCCTTACAGTGGCCCTACAAGACCTTAGTGCTGGAATTTCACATCCTCTCCCCTCCTTCACTGTGCCCAGCCACACTGGCATCCTAGCAGGGCCTTGAGCCTGAGGGAAAAAAAAAAACTCTGTCTTTCACACTGGCTGTAACCTCTGCCTAAGATACTTTTTCCCCAGATATCCACATGGCTCACTCCCTCACAGACATTAGTTCTTTGATCAAATCTCCCTTCTCACTGAGATCTTCCCTCTCGATTTAAAATTGTAACAACCTCATTGCCAGTATTCCCTGTCCCACTTCTGTGCTTTATCCTCCTTTATGACCTTATCTGGCATGTATATTTCACTTATTCATGACCCTCTCCCCCAACTAGAACACAAGCTGCATGAAGTCAGGAATCTTCTGTCTGTTTAGGTCACTGCTGTATCCCCAGTGCCTAGAAGGGTACCTAGCATACACAGTTGGTGCTAATTTGAATTAACTGACTTGACTGCCTCTTATTTTGCTTTCCTCTGATGTCAATTTCACTTAAATAATGTCTTCAGGACAGCCTATTCTCCAGCCTTCATATTCTATCCTAATAAAAATGCCCTTCTATAGAAAGTTAATCCCTCATTGTCTGTTCTTCAGAAATGATTTGAAATTTTGGTATTCTCTTTAAGAAGTTGTATGTGAATGAACATCATGTTACAGGAAGCAGTTACATATTTTAATTATTGTTTTTTCAGATTTAAAGGAAGCAAGAAAGATGACATTCTGGGAGTTTCATATAATAGGTTGATTAGAATCAATGCAGCCACTGGGATTCCAATTACAACATGGAGATTTACAAATATGAAACAGTGGAATGTAAACTGGGAAATCCGGCAGGTAAAGTGAAAGTTTTTGGTACATTCAGCATTGAGCCTATAAATGTGTGTTCCCTCAGAACTGCAGCTTATTTTGATTTTAAGAGGGTGTTATTATACTTAGAACTCAGAAACCACAAGCATGTGGTAATTGTCTGCTAAAATAATCACATGCAGTTCTGAGCAGTTTCCTAGCAAGCACAGACCAAATGCTTTTGAATTAACACAAGTTGGCTTAGTCTCCATACAGACAGACTCTAAAATTGCTGAGCAGTTTGATTAATTTCTTTCAACTCAGTGTATGATTATGTAAGATTTAGGCTGATAATTACTTAGCTGAAACTACCTGAGATGTAAATATCATACAAAATAAATACAAAACAGGCGTCATCTGACTGGCTGCCAAGAGGTGTAACTGGTTGAGAACTCAGAGGCTCAACTGCCCACCTGGAGAGCATTCCAGGCCCAAAGAGGAAAAGTATCAGAGAAGCCAGCGAGGTACACAGGGGTCATGGAGGAAACTTAGCCTCTGAGTTCAGGAGCCCTCAGCCCCCATCATCTCCACCCTAGGAACCAGGTCAGGCCATGCCTGCATCACAGGATGCGCTAGACCAAGCCAGACACACCTGAGTGTCCTGATGATTTAAAACATTCTTCTGTTGCTGATATAGGATCTTTATCGCATTCCTTTGGCATTCCCATTTTTCCAGTATAAAGCTGTCAATGTAGAGCGAGGATAAGTGACTCACATTTTTCTTTTTTTAAGAACCATGGATTCCTCTCAGCAGGGCTGTTGACCATCTGGACTCATTTGCAGAACAATGTTCTGAGATTAGATGGCCTCTAAGACAGTGACTCGAAAACCTTGTTGTACCCTCAAGGTCATGTAAATCCAACTCTGGGAAATGCAAATCAAAACTACAATGAGGTACCACCTCACACCAGTCAGAATGACCATCATTAAAAACTATAAATAACAAATGCAGGAGAGGATGTGGAGAAAAGGGAACCCTCCTACACTGTTAGTGGGAATGTAAGTTGGTACAACCACTATGGAAAACAGTATGGAGGTTCCTCAGAAAACTAAAAATAGAATTACCATGTGATCCAGTATCATATGATTACCATATATTCCCACTCCTGGGAATATATCCTGACAAAACTCTTAATTGAAAAAGATATATGCACCCCTATGTTCATAGCAGCACTATTCACAATAGCCAAGACATGGAAACAACCTAAATGTCCATCAACAGATGAATGGACAAAGAAGATATGGTACATAGGTACAAAGGAATACTACTCAGCTATAAAAAAAGAACAAAATAATGCCTTTTGCAGCAACATGGATGCAGCCTGAGATTATCATACTAAGTTAAGTAAGTCAGAAAGAGAAAAACAGGGCTTCCCTGGTGGCGCAGTGGTTGAGAGTCTGCCTGCCGATGCAGGGGACACGGGTTCGTGCCCCAGTCTGGGAAGATCCCACATGCCGCGGAGTGGCTGGGCCCGTGAGCCATGGCCGCTGAGCCTGCACGTCCAGACCCTGTGCTCCACAACGGGAGAGGCCACAACAGTGAGAGGCCCGCGTACCGCAAAAAAAAAAAAAAGAAAGAGGAAAACAAATACCATATGATATCACTTATATGCGGAATCTAAAATATGACACAAATGAACCTATCTACAAAACAGAAACAGACTCACGAACATAGAGAACAGACTGGTGGTTGCCAAGGGGGAGAGGATTGGGGGAGGGATGGAGTGGGAGGTTGGGGTTAGCAGATGTAAGCTTTTATATATAGAATGGATAAACAAGGTCCTACTGTATAGGATATAGAGAACTATATTCAATATCTTATGGTAAACCATAATGGAAAAGAATATTTAAAAAAGAATGTATATGTGTATAACTGAATCACTTTGCTGTACAGCAGAAGTTAACACAACATTATAAATCAACTACAATTTTTAAAAAAATGATCCAACTGTGCACCTTAAATAGGTCTGTTTATTATACATCGGTTATACCTCAATAACACAGTTTGGAGAAAAAAAAATCTGACTCTGGGAATTACTGAGGTCAGTGATTCTTTTTTTGTTTGTTTGTTTTTAAAATAACATTTATTTTTAAAAGTTAACATGTGAATAATAGGAAACCGAAAAACGCAAGAAGCAAAAAGCAAAGTCATCCATAATCATAAGCAGTTTACCGTTTGATGTGTCCTTCTAGGTCTCATTTGTGTAACTATACAACTAAGCATCCATTTTCACATAAGTAAGATCATACAGTTATGTACGATGATTTTTCATATTTTCATATAAGTAAGATCATACAGTTATGTATGATGATTTTTCAGACATCAGGAATATTTACCATTTCAACGTCCCAAAGCTATTTGAGTATTTTGATAACCAAGAATACACTACACCAACTCAATCTACAAGGAAAATAATGTAATCCTGCCTTGCTTGGCAACAAAAATTTCATAAAAGACAAAAATGGCAACAGGCCTCTAGATAAAGATATTGGTAGAGTTATGATTAAAATACTACATTTCCTTAATGTTCCATTAAAAATGAGACAGAAAGCAAAATATAAATACAAACACATCCACATACATGCCTCCCTTTATACTTCCTTCTTCCCCTCTGCTGCTAACCTAATGAGCTAGTCCTGACGTACATTTCTCAGAGATGGTTTAACAATTCCATATCCAAGATGCTGCTTTTTTTTATCAGTTGTAATATTTACCAATTGGTTAATTCACTAGCTCTACTTTTTATCATATATTGTCACCTCAGGATATCTAAAAGCTTAGATGTTGCAAAATAAAGAATGAGCCTTGCAAAAGACTTTTGCTGGTGTATACTATTGAACATTTCAACTTATCCATTGCTCTACATGTTACATGCCTTTGGTTTAACTGTACTGTATATATTATGTACATACTGGACAAATGGGTCCTAATTTTATAATATCTAGTCTCTAGATATTAAAGGGGTCACCAATGTATGACAAAAGTAGAGTTGGTAAACTAACACATTTTGTACACTTTTGTGTTAAAATTCATTGAAAGGCCGTCTTTTGAAAAGGACCTTTGGAAATGAAATTGTAAATCACATCTAAGTGACACATGTGCCTGTACTCACCCACTGTTGGATGATGGAAAGAAGTAATTGGGAGAAATGAAGGGTTCTAGACTAGAATGTTTCTGTGTAGATCAGTGATTCTTAAAGGTCCCCAGCTGATTCCACTGGGCAGCCAAGGTGGAGAACGGGTGAAGCTTCAGTTTCTTCCAGTGTTAGAGTTTATGACTTCCAGCTGGGAAGGAGTGAGGGCCGTGGCTGTAGGAACATTCACGTGGGCCTTTTTCTCTCCACTAAAAAATCTGCAAAGCACTCTGCCCCTCCACACAGGGAGTGCTTAGACAGTTCTTTCATCTAAACAAGAGCCAGACAGGAAATATCTTTTGTGTTGAGCGTTAGAATGTTTTGCCAGGTGTGCAGCAAAGCTGACACCACAAGAGGGCGCCCAGAGAGCAGAGACGTTTTCTGTAAACTATGATGCAAGCGGTGGATTTTGCAGGGTTTGGGGAAACCCATCTGTCAGCACCTCAGCAGTCCTCAGCTCTGCGACCATCTCCAGCCAAGCGGCTTCCTTCTCATTCGTTCTTGTCAGAACTTAAGTATACCTGTGCCTTCCTCTTCCAGGTGGCGATCGAATTTGACCAGAACGTCTCCATCGCATTCACCTGCCTGAGCGCGGATTGCAAAGTTGTGCATGAGTACATCGGGGGCTACATTTTCCTGTCCACCCGCTCCAAGGACCAGAATGAAACTCTTGACGAGGACCTGTTCCACAAGTTGACCGGCGGCCAGGAGTGAACAAAGCAGGCCTGCCGGGCCTACACAGAGGGAGGGCCTACCCGGACGTTGGGTCAACAGCCTGCGCCATGTGTACATTCCAGGCTGACAGCATATATTCACCACCGGATACCCAGACCCTCGCCTCATTTCCAGCACCCTGCCTAGCACATCCCTCTCCTCACTCTGCCCTCTGCTGTGGAAGGGGCCTCAGTTAACCCTTCTGTAATGCGGGGCGGGAGAGAGGACACTGCTCGGCATTACTCCAAGGCTCCACGTGTAGCTATGACCTGCACAACCTGCAAGTGCATGGCTAGAAGCTGTCCTTGTGCTTATCTGCTTTTTTGCTAAGTCAAAGGAAAGACAGGTTAAAAGCACATGTAGCAAGGACAAATCTTATTCCCCAAACTCAGGTATGAAAAGAAATGTCTTTCCGTAACAGAAGTGCCTTTAACTACCATCTTTTGAAAACGGCAGAGGGAGCCCCCGCATACACTTTTGTCCCGTAGGTCAAAGTCTGGGGGTGAATGTCTGGGGAAAGGTGGAGTTACCTGGTACCAGTTGGTGACAAGTGGTCAGAGTAGTGGCCCTCAGTGTCATCAGTCCCGAGTGACATCTGCCAAGGTGACCATTGACCCATCTGGTCTTGGACATCGGTTACTGCCCCACCTGCAAGTCCCATTCCATTCCTGGGGAGGCTTCAGCCACAATTAAAGGGGATCCCTTAAGTCCTTCTAAAGACACAGTGACACAAGGGTTCAGGGAAACCCATTTCTCAAACCCACTCCATGTCTCAACAGCTTCTGCTCTGGGTTGGGGCTCAGGAAGATGGGCTCAGTTCTCTCTTCATAAAAACCACCTCCCAGCATCAAGGTTTCCAGTGAGGTCTCCATCCCAACCAGTCAGGGAGAGAAGAACAGGACACAGGGCAGCCCCGTACCCCAAGACCACCACCTTAAGAGCTCTCAGCTTCCCCAGGGGCTTCTGTCTAATTAGGGCCTTTAGCTGGTCTGTGGGGTAGGGAAGCCTTGCTCTTATCACTACCCGGTGTTCTGGATTTGTGTTTGTTTATGTGACTCACGGCCTTTCCCCTGAAGGCCTTTGGCTTTGTAAATCAAAAGCCGATAATGGACTTTTTTTTGCTCTGTTGTCTCTGCCTTGAAACATGAATGTGGGCCAGTTGACAGCTGCCTCAATTGTCATTTTCTGTTTTGGTTCATCAGTGTTGGGAGGATTGAGTTTTAAGAAGGTAAAAGGTAGTACTGGGGTTAGAGGGAAATATCAGATGTATTTTAGTATGTTTTTATAAATATTCTCCTGTCACACAAAGGATGTGGGTTGCAAGGGTAAGGCTGAGACTCTGTTTCCATTTTGAAGTTCTTTTAAGATGCAAACCTCAGGGGGCCTGGCTGGACTTCAGATGCCCAAAAACATTGGCTGTTGCTTTATTTTCTAACAAAACTGTTTGAGAAAAGAGATCTCTGCAATTCTGGGGGCCACCTCGAGACAGCCTTGGCTGGGGACCCTTGGGCCCTGAGCCAGAAGCTGTCACTGGAAATTCCTCTTTCAGCATCTCCTTAGAGGTGAATGTTATTGAAGAATCTTCAGGCAACTGAACTTCTGAGGCCTAGCTTAAAGCCTGGATGTGGCTTGGGCACTTGGAAAATCTGGTCCATGTCAAAAAGAACTGAGTTTGAAACATTTTGTACAGAAACCAGTGCCAAGTGAACTGCGTTGAACTTGGTGGTCATTTCTCCATAGTCCTGGGCTCCATTATTTTAGAGCCTAGCTGGGCCCGACATTAAAGTAAAGCTCCTTGATGTCACAGTTTCCCTGTCTGCTGTCAAACGCAGCTCTGCCTAATTTACCAAAGCTAAACCTTTGGTTCAGCCTTCTGCCTTAGCTTTTCCTGGTTGTCTGACATTTCCATGAAAACACTCAGAAGAGCTGACCAGTTTAACCAGACTTTCAGGGGAGCATTTCTTCCACAACTCCACAGCCACATCCCAGAGGAATAAACAAGCATGGCGGGAAAACCTTAAACACTGCTATTCCAAAGAGCAACTTAAGGATATTTTTTTTACATTGGGTGCAAAGGTCCCCTGACTTCCTATGATGAAATTTGAAATTAATGTGTGCCTTTCAACCCTGTTTGATTTCTTATCTACAGTACATGGGGAAGTCTGCATTTTTTTGTGTGTTATTTTATATGACTTTTTAAATTAAAAGGTTTATATGGATTTGAATATGGTCTAGTTGCGTCCTCTCCTGTCTGTTGCCTCTAAAAAGGCGAATATTTTCTCCATTATGAAAAAGGAGTGCAACTTTCAGGTTTAACATTTGCTTTTCCTCACAATTCCAATATCTGAGCTATTCTCTGCAGTGAGATTGACTTAGAAACCTCACTTAACCATTGGTTTCAACTCTTTTCTCATTGACTGTCACTAGATTTCCTGACATATCGTGAGCTCTTTTTATCCGGGTCCACCTTTTAGAAAAAGCACGATAGAGCAAAAAAGTAGCCAGAGGCAGAGGGACATCAGAGGGCCTCTGATTTGATGACCCAATGTCACGGGCACATCTTTGATTTAGTGATAGATGGTACATAAGGGTTAGTAATGTGTAGTTTTTAGATATCCCTTCATGCAATTCTTTTTTTTTAATTTAACTACAGTTGATTTACAATATTGTATTAGCTTCAGGTGTACAGATTCTTATCCATTATAGGTTATTACAAGACATTGAATATAGTTCCATGTGCTATATAACCCTTTGTGCAATTCTCACATCAACCCACAGGGAGCAGAAACAGCTTGCCTTCTCATTTCACAAAGGAGAAACCAGGCTCCGAAGGTGAAGTAACATGCCCAAGGTCACACTAAGAGTAAGCAGTGGAACCAAGATTCAGGCCAGGTCTTAACTCCAGAGACTACTGAGCTTAACTCAGCAAACCCCACCCTTCCATTTCCAGACCTGCTCAACCTTGAACTGCCTGCCCCACCCCCAGCCCCAAGACAGGCATCTCCTGAGCTCAGTGCCCCCATGTCACACACCGGTGGGGGAGGGCCAGGGAAGTCAGAGGAGCTGGGGAGGTGCAGGTGGATCAAAAAGGTCTGGGAGGGGCTTCCCTGGTGGCACAGTGGTTAAGAATCTACCTGACAATGCAGGGGACAGGGTCCAAGCCCTGGTCCGGGAAGATCCCACATGCCGTGGAGCAACCAAGCCCGTGCGCCACAACTACTGAGCCTGCGCTCGAGAGCCCGTGAGCCACAACTACTGAGCCCGTGTGCCACAACTACTGAAGCCTGCGTGCCTAGAGCCAGTGCTCTGCAACGCTCGCCACAACTAGAGAAAGCCCATGTGCAGCAATGAAGACCCAGCGCAGCCAAAAATTAATTAATTAATTTTTTTTTAAAAAAAGGTCTGGGAGCCAGAGAAGTGAGTATTTTGATTCTGGGCAAGTTTCATTTTCAGTCCCATGGTAGAAAAAGTAAACAAATGAGTCTTTCATTTCAAAACTCATCTTTGAGTTGTAGGCACTTGAAGCCAACACATCCTGCAATATTTGTTTTCTGAAATTGCTTAAAAAAAAAAATGTAATTCACTTGTAAGTAAAGACTTCTTTTTCACTTCAGTACATTCAGCAAAGAGTAAAATAGAAAGGGAGGCTCCCTTCCACACCTCCAACCTCCCTGAGAGATTCTGTGGTGACAGGAAGAAGGGGAAAAGGCAGGAAAATCATGTGAAATAATGAAATACATACAAACTATATTCTTTTATTATTTTCCCACACGAACATATGATTTTTATGAAATCACAGGAGATATGATCATGTGAAATAATGCTATATATATGAATTTTTTTCATTATCTTCCCACACAAACATGTGGTTTTCCTGCTTCCTCCTCTCCCCGCCGCCCCACTATCACCCGTGAATCTCTCTGGATGGCAGGGGTGGGAGGGAGCCGCCTCCTCTTCTGTTTCACCCCTTTTTCCCCTTCATGCCCCCTTCCTTCGAGAGCCATTGAACCCTGGAAATCCTGGAAAATCTGAAGGTCAGCACGTGGCCCTTCCTTGTGTTCAAGTTTCCCTGTCCCCTTTCTCAACAGTAGGTACCTTCCTGAAGCCGAGTGGAGTTACTGAACTCCATCAAAGAGAACAAAACCAGCCTGCGCATTCTCCCTCCTCACAAATGCCTGTGCTGCCCTGGAGCTCCCACCGGCCTTGGGGTGATGGGTTCTCAGACTTCTTCAGAGCTGAACCCTTTTGCTGAGTAAAAGGTCAGATCCCAATGAATTAAGCCACCCTTGAGCCCAGAGCTCCATGGAAGCCACTTCACATAACACCAGATCAGATGATTTAGAAACAGCATCTGGGAGCCTCCCCACATTTGCCCAAACATCCGTGTTGCATGAAGACCCAGTTCCCTCAGAAGAGCCCCTATGAACGCACATAAGCAGGATGGGAATGTGAGGTTTCTCTTCAGGCTCACTAATGCTCCTCACTAACAACTGTTGTAGAGATTTTCAACTAAATGAATTTATTTCCTTCTGACTTGTCATGTGACCTCATTCCCCAGCAGGCCTCAGTTTCTCCAGTCGTTACAGAGGAAAAGTCCCACAGCCCCTCCTTCTCAGGGGACCCCCACTGATGGTGCTTTTCTGTCCGGGAGCCCAGCAGGATGTTGTTTCTCTTCTTGGGCCAGTGAGTTGGGAGGCAGGGCCCCTGGCTGCTCTCTGAGATCCCTGGGATGCGGGAAATGCCCAGGGAAGAGGCAGAGACCTTTGTGAGGTGACCCAGGGCCTCAGGGGAGGGGAGGGTCCAAAGTCCAAGCCTGTGTCCTCTGACTCAAAGGATGTGTTGACCCCAAGCAGGGCCCATGACAGGGAAGCAGGGAAGGCAAATGAGGTTCCAGAAGGGAAAAAAATTATGTATATATATATATATCTCCTTGAGAAAAGAGGGGGCGGGGAATGCAACAGAGCCTGGGGGGCCTGGGCTCAACAGTAGGGGTTGGTGATGGGATGGCTGGTTTAAGCCCACCACCTGGCTGGTAAAGGAAGCCCCCACTTGTGCCCACTGTGGCTATTGGGAGAGAATAAGGATGGTCTTGCAGGCAACACAATGGAAAGTGGGGGAGCCAGATCTGGAATAGTCAGGTATCCCAGGAACCGGTCAGGCTTTGGGATGGAGGTCTGATGAGGGGCTTACAAAGGGGCCCTAGATATCCATGCTACCACTTAACTCCCTGCAATGCTCCCAAAGTACCAATATTGGCAGCCAGGTCAGCCCACAAGACCCAGCATTAAAAACATAGCAGAACCAGTGTTCTCCTCTAGGACTTACAAAGCCCATGCACTCAGCTTCAAAATGGAAAGCATCTTCTTCACTAGTGAGGGTCGGATATCGAGCATTAAACCCACATAGACTGCAGCTTGAGACCTTGCTACTCAAAGTGTGTTGCTTGAATCCACAGCATTGGTCAGAAATGCCGAATCTCACAGGGCCGGGACCAGCAAGTTACCCAGAGCACAACATTTAAGGAGATCCCACCATCAGGGCCTCCTTACCTCACCCTAGTCCCAGCTCCGAGGCCCACCCCAACCTTCTGAATCAGACTCTGCATTTTAACAAGACACTCAGGTGCTATGTGTACACAATTAAGTTTGAGAAGCTCTGGCCTAAGATACGTGGCATGGATTTGGCAGGGAGGACACCAAACACCAGGAATTATGAGCATAAATGCCATAAACTCTGCATGCCAGTGTGTGGGTTGACTAGTGTCCCCCAAAACTTCATGTTCACCCAGAACCAGTGAATGTGACCTTAATTGGAAATAGTCTTTGCAGATG